AGGCTGGTCAGGAGGGCGGAGAGCAAACACAGGCAGCTGCAGGAGACCTGAATCCTCCGCAAAGCGAGGACGCGGACTTGCAGGCTTTGCAGAATCTGGAGGAAGCTACAGTTCAGCACGGACTCGGCTTTGCTTCCTTTGCAGACCTCGAGGATGGTGCGGAGGCAAAGAAGGCGGCAAAGAACAGAGGGAAAAAGCGCAAACAGCCTCTTGAAGAAGAGGCTGCCGCCAGCGAGGAGGACATGATGGCGGGCGACAACGGCGCCGAGTACCCCCCTGACGTGGAACAGGCAGACGACAAGGACATGGTAGCTATTACAAAACGCCACTTCCTGATCACGGGCAAGGAAGCGCCGTGCTTGTGGAATCTGCAAGCGGAGCGGATCTTGAAGGGAGAAAAGTTGGGGAAGTCTGTTCAAGGCGTATCTGGGCGGCAAACCTAGCATGCTGCCCTTCAGTCAGTGTCCTTGTGTGCCATAGCCTTAGGCCTGTATCCTGCATCTTGAGAAATTTCGGGCGCCAGGCGTAAGACCAAGGCCTGAAAGGCGAAGTAGGACGTGGTACCGGGTAGTCTGGTGGGTTTCTCTGTTTTCAGTACTAGTCTCAGCTGCGGTCACCCAGGCAAAAAGCTGCTTGAAGACTCTGGTGGCCCACAAGGCCAGGGAACAGCACGAGCTGCACGACCGAATTGCCCGCGCGGAGGCTGCCATGTCACTGATGGGGGAGCCTCTGCGTGCCATCCCGAATGCTTCCTTCTTGAAATTGATCATGGTTTTGCGAGAGGACCTCCCCGCGGCCCCGTTTGACTTGCGGATCTCCATCACAGGCAAGCTGGTCCAAGACCAGCTGAATGAGGCGGTTCAGACAACAGACCGGAAAGAGGCTTTGCAGCTGGTGGAGGTGATCGCAAAGCGCATAGTGTTCCCTGTTTCCGCAGCCAACAGTGAGTCCGGCGTTGTCCGGAAGGTGCAGATGAAGCCATGTGATGTTCAGCAGCCTAGCTTTGCACCGCTCCTGGAGGATGTGATGAAGCAGGCTTCCAGCGTTTCTACAGACGACGTAGACTTGGATCTGTTCGGCGAGGAGACAGAGGAGAGTGGCCAGGGCAAGGAGCAGAAGGGCGAGAGTGGCCTGGAGAGCCACATCAAGGCTCCGTTCGAAGAACATGCACCCCAAACCCTGAACCCTCAAGCCTAAGCCGAAGCACTTAACTTAACCCTCTAGTTTTCCAGGAAAAGGGTTTCAGTTCTGTCTCGGCAGGCCCTTGCTGCAGAGATCCTGGAATGTCTGGTGAGCGACACGATGATCGACCTCTTTTGCAAGCTCGTGAATGAAGATCACCAGCGCCTGCTCCTGACCTTCTTCAAGAGTTTCCTGTCCTCCCTGCAAACCAACCCAAGCTGGGATGAACTCCTCGGCTTTCCTTGCATGCAGCCTGTGCGCGATGCGGTGACCAGCTTCAAGCGATTTGCGAGCTGTGTGCATGAGTTGGTGCAGGCAGATCATGAGGTCCGGTCATTTGAGGCCCTCCAGTATTTCCTGAAATACAAGGGCACATCTCCTTGGGAGAGAACAATCTGCAACATCCTGACGAAGCCAGAGCGGAAGGATGCAGCGGATGATGAGAAGCACGCGCGAGCCTTTCTTTTGGATTTGGCTGAGGACGCTTTGAAGACAAGTGCAAGCACCCTCAAGTTCGAGCCCACTTTCCTCGTGTGCATGCAGAAGCTGAAGGCACAGGTACCGAGCATTCCAGACTTGAAGTTCGCGGCAGAGAACCTGTCGAGTTTCAAGGAAGGGCTTCGAAAGGGCCGAGCGTTGTCAATGGAGCCGACGCTTGTTCACAAGCTCTCAGCGGTGGCAGCAAGTGTTTACCAGAGCAAGACGTGCGAGGACATCGCGTCGGAGGATGTTGATTCTCTGCTGGCCCTGCTGAAGAGCTACTCGCAGCACAGCATCTGCTTCGATGCATCCAACCTGCTCGTGCAATGGGCCACCAAGCACAACTGCCGGCTTCACCAAGAGGCCCTTTCTCGAGTCTTAGGGACCTACTTGAAGCAGGTGGGTGAGTCTCCGGAGAAGGTTTCGCTCTTCGAGGTCATGCCCTTGGATGACATCAAAGCATTGACGCGAAAGGCTCGGCCACCCACCGACACCCAGATTCCCGAGCCATTGCGTGGTCGCCTTCTCGAAGCTACTGTGCACTTGCTGCAGCTGTCTGTTCACGAGGCATGCCAGTGTGGACATATTGAGGGGGAATCTGCTAGCATGATAGTTCCGCTCTTTTGTACTCGTTGCTGGTGTATCAGTGTATCAGATTCTGCAATCTGAGAACGTGTGGCGTTCAGTGTTGGGTATGTCGGATAAGTCCAGAGTCTAGAGTCTAGGGCCGGTGTGGTGTAACTTGCTATTCGAGTCAGGCTGCATGGTTCCCGGTTGGGGGTTTGTTCCGTATAGATTCCAGAACATGTTTTGCAGGCGAATGCCCACCTAGATGAGACCATTCGAGGAGCACCTCACTTGGCCAACGTGGCCCGGGCATTTGCAATGCTAGCCGGGCATGCTCACGCCAAAGCCACTGGGGCCATGTTCGAGTTCGTGTCTGCCGTTTCCCAGTATCGCCTAGCAGAGCGGATCTATGCTGCACGCGGCGGAGACGCAGAGGAGCGTGCTAAGAACGATGCCAAGCACGCTTCCCTCATCGCCGCGGTGGAAGGCATCGGGAAGGTTCGGGAGACCTTTGCCTCCATGGAGAAGGCACTTGGGCCAGAGAGTGGGCTGCCTGACATCGACCTCAGCGATTTGGCAGCTGTCCGCCACTCCCCTGAGCAAGCCGTGTTGTGTGTCAACTTCAAGCACTTCGTTGCAGGTGAGCGCTCCATCCTAAAGTCTGAGGTTCTCAGCGATGCGGTGAGCTTTGCGGCGACAAAGAAGGGCAACGACATGCGCAGCTTGATGGCATCCCTCGACAAGGAATCCGCGGGCTTCGCCGGCGACAAGTCTTGGAAGGACACTTTGTCAGGCGATGCTGATTTGGCTCAGGTGCTCGAAGCATACGAGACGGTTTTGAAGCCAGTTGTGCAGTCTAGTGGTTTGAAGTCGAAGTTGGACGAGCTCCTGGAGGTGCATGTCTCAGTTAGACAGTTATAGTAGAAGCCAGAAAGTTGGAACATCAGACTCCTCATGCCCTTAAGGTAAAGCATAAGGGATCCTAGCACTAATCCTCCTAAAGCCATGTTCCAACTTTCTGGCTTCTACTGTAGGTTCCACGGATCTGCAGTTTAGGGACAAGTGTAAGCGCACCTAGTGAGTGTAGTGTAGGTGCAGCTGTCGGTGTAGATCGGAAGCGTGAAGGAAGACATATTTCTGGCAAGATAGATGGTGAGTTACCGTAAAAACCCAAGTTCAGTGTCGTCCTTGAGCTGAGGGAGTCACTGATGCCCGAGATTTCGCGGATCGTGTGAACCGGGCAGCGGGTGACTTGATGAATGATGAACTTCGGGCCCTCGGCGACGAGTGCACCGAGGCCACGAAGATGGTCAGAGCTGGCGGGGCAATCTTTACGGAGATCGTGTTGTCAGTGGCCTTGAAAAGCATGAAGGAGCGGGCAAGTGATCTTCAGGCAGTGCAGAAGGCCAAAGGCCTCGTTTCCGGGCAAGTCTCGCCTTTGAGGACGGGTAGCAACAAGTACGCAGTGGGCCAGGAAGACATCCACCCTGTGTTGTATGAGCAAGCAGTTGCCGCCATGCAGTGACGCGCAGGGGCTGTAGTAGGTTTAACAGGGCTTCTTTTGAGCATATAGTAGAATCTGAGTCCATAAGGGAAAACTTGTAAGTAGCTGGTTTCAGAACACTTCCAAGTTCGGTGAACTTGCCCCTGCACGCGCATCAGCTGGGCTGAGCCCGTTGGGGCATGGCAAACATGTCCAGTATCTTATAAACAGCTGTCGCGACATCTCACGAATCTGTGCGTACCTGGCGAGGTGGAACCTCACTAGAGGCTGCACATGGAAAGGCGACGTCCACCACATTCTTGCAGACTCAAGACCCGGGCCATACTCCTAAACCTTCTAAACTCTACTTGGCACTGTGAACTCAGCACCCAGATCCCGACACTTTTAGTCCTCAACCCTAAATGCTGAGACCGCAACTCGCACTTTAAAACCTAGGACCCACGAGCTTGAGCTTGCACGCTTTCCTGCAGCTGAGGTGGCTGCGACGCTTTTCCCACCTAGGAGTGAGTTCCCTCGTGACACTGTGCGAAGGAAAACGATGGATCCTTGTTGGAGGCAAGAGCTTTTGGCAGCTTTCTCGGAGCCTTCTGAAGCAGGCCCAAACCGGTTTAGACGTAAGATTTGGGGGTTGAGAGGTCTTGGGTTTGGAGCTTAATTCTCTAGGGTTTCAAAGCCTAAGGCCTAGAGGCCTAGAGTTCTGGCTTGGAGAGCCAGCGGTAGCCGCGAAGTTTGTCCGATCTGTATATTCCATATGAGACCCCTCTCAAAGTTGCTGCGATTCTTTCTTGCATCTCGTGCACTGTTGCTTGCTATTTGCTTGCTATTTGCTTGCTATTCGCTTGCTATTCGCTTGCTATTCGCTTGCTAAATGCTCTCAGATTTCTCGCAAAGCTTTCTGCAGCTCTCACTATTTTCTCGCAAATCTCTCCCAAACGTTCTCGCAAAGATCTCGCTAATTAATTATTTTGTAGTTTCCAGTATTTACATTCCAGAGATGATCACAACTCTAGCGATTGTTGTACATAGTTGGATGCAATTCGGATCAAGGAGACAGTTCAGGGCTTCAGGGTTTAAAGAATTTGGAGATTTCAGGCTTTACCTAGCTGATAATATCAAAGCCAAGCACTGCGGATGGACCGGTGGAACTTCATGAAGACATTGTGGGCCACCCTCGTCATCCACTCCTCAGTGGATTCGCCTTCCTTCTGGGTAAGCGATGCTTCCTGCCATGTATCGTAGAGGGTTTAGGGGCAGCGTGATCCCAAAACTGTCCGAAAGGCCTTGGAAGACCCCCACTACCCCTGAAACCAGCCTCGGGACTAGCACCCTTTCCAACGAAACTCGGGTCCTTCAAATCGAAAGAGTTGGGCTTCTCCAATGCCTTGAAAACGGCCTCCGTCCTGGCCGACGTCTTGCTGCGAGCCTCAACCGGGGCCAGCTGGAGGACCCCTGGATCCGGATGCTGCATGGCTTGCTGCTGGTCGCCTGTTCCCTGCGTGGCTTGATCTGCTTGCATCGTCGGGACCCCTGACTCCACGGCTTCATGCTGGTCGCCTGTTCCCTGCGTGGCCTCTGCGTCTGCTTGCAACGGGACCCCTGACTCCGAATCCGGTGCTTGCTGCATGGCTTCCTGCTGCTGGTCGCCTGTTCCCTGCGTGGCCTCTGCGTCTGCTTGCATCGGGACCCCTGACTCCGAACCTGGTGCTTGCTGCGTGGCTTCCTGCTGCTGGTCGCCTGTTCCCTGTGTGGCCTCTGCGTCTGCGTGCATCGGGACCCCTGACTCCGAATTTGGTGCTTGCTGCGTGGCTTCCTGCTGGTCGCGTGTTCCCTGTGTGGCCTCTGCTAGATTTGCGTCTGCTTGCATAGGGACCCCCGACTCCGAATCCGGTCCTTGCTGCATGGCTTCCTGCTGGTCGCGTGTTCCCTGCGTGGCTTCTGCTTGCATGGGCTGCGAAACCACTCCTTCCATAGCCTGGTTGCCTGTTCCCTGCGTGTCCACCAAGGTCTCCGGAAGCGGGAGCGACGACGGCTCCTGGGCACAGCGGTTCGTAGTACTAGCACTGTGGAGGTTGTACGAGTGCTATAGCTAGCAGCAGAAAAACAAAGTAGAAGTGATAGATATCTAGTATACAGTACTAGTCCTAGTACTAGTACTAGTACTACTACTACTACTACTACTACTACTACTACTACTACTACTACTACTACTACTACTACTGCTACTACTGCAGTAGCAGTAGTAGTAGTAGTAGTAGTAGTAGTAGTAGTAGTAGTAGTAGTAGTAGTAGTAGTAGTAGTAGTAGTAGTAGTAGTATTATAGTAGTAGTAGTAGTAGTAGTAGTGGTAGTAGTAGTAGTAGTAGTAGTAGTATTATAGTAGTAGTAGTAGTAGTAGTAGTAGTAGTAGTAGTAGTAGTAGTAGTAGTAGTAGTAGTAGTAGTAGTAGTAGTAGTAGTAGTAGTATAGTAGTAGTAGTAGTAGTAGTAGTAGTAGTAGTAGTAGTAGTAGTAGTAGTAGGAGTAGTAGTAGTAATACTAGTAGTAGTAGTGGTAGTAGTACTAGTACTAGTAGCGTAGTACGTAGTAGTGGTACGTATAGTATAAACACCAGCAGTAGCTATCTAGTACAGTAGTGTGCTAGCTCTAGATCTCGAATTCGAATTGATTTCGCAACGGCAGCACCAGTGGCTGGCAGTAGTCTAGTTTAACCAAGTCGGTACTGCAAGGCGATGTGGAGGCTTCGAAAGAGGACTGCTTTGGCTTATTAGGTATTGTACAGGGACTAAGGTCTAGGCTTTAATAAGTTTCTGCGATGTTTGCGGACTGGTTGAAACTTTATAAGGGCTCAGGATTCAAGCTTAAGCTTACGGGTTGCAGGTTAACACTTTTTCGGCAGCTTCTACGTGTGACGTGGAGTTTCGGGATTAGGGTACCCTGCTCGCATCCAAAGAACCCAGGCCTCTAGAGAGAAGTTTGCCATAGATGCCTCCAGCTCGTCCATGAAGAGCTGCTCGCCTATGTCCTCCTCGATCGTCGTTGTTTGCATCCAACCAAACTCGTTGAACAGGTTCCACTTGCCCAAGAGGGGATCGACTGATTTGTCGATGGCCACGAGTGCAGCCAACTCCGCCCGCTCCAGGTGATCCTGGATCTCCTTGCTCTTCTTGGACCTCCACTGCTCCGTGGCTGTAGCACGTTTGTGCAGTAGGTCCTCGCCCAATTCGCCGTTGTCCAACTGTTGCCGAAGCTTCTGGATCATGTTCTCGGCTTGGTTGTGGACTGCCTCTGCCACGGCTGCGGTTTTGGCCTTCAGAGCCTCATACTCAGAAACCTTTGTCCAAGCTCCGTTGACGAGTAGCATTAAGTACTTTAGGCCATCCGAGTCCATCAGCAAGTCGGTCCTGATGTCATCCTCCATCACAACACCATTCTGCGGATGCCGAGGCAGGGCGTCCTTGATCCAGGACATCATCGGCGAAGCGTCTTGGAAGCGAATAGCTTCTTCAAGAGGGGGCCACTGCTTGTCCTGGCACGGCATGCCATAGTAGCCCTCGAAGATCAACCTCCGGACACCTGTCGAGGGGTCCTCCTCCTCTCGCGGAAAGTCCCCCAGCACCAGAGTGCTTGTTGAGCGAGCCACCGTGGTGAGGCTGTCCGGCCTGCGGATGGGCTGCACCCCGGCCGGCGAAGCTTGGCTTTGGCCTGCATACATTAACAAATTTAGGCTTTAGGGTTTGGGGATTGGGTTTTTGGGTAGGGTTTGGGGATTGGGTTTTGGGCAGCCAATATCCTAGAACCATCGTACCATAAGCTACGAAAGAATTCTATGCTAGATGTAGCTGAAATGCAAGCAAACAGCACCAATAGGATCCGGAATTTAGAGTAGATAGTTAAACAACATAGAGAAGCCCAGAGAACATGTGTGGGAATAAGGTTTAGGGTATGTTGACAGTTTAGGTATATATTATTAGGGTTTATTCAAACTATCTAGTTGTCTAATCTAAGCTACTGTACTTGGCAGACACCCAATGCATGATCATGAGACAGCCTGGCAGTTGATCAGGCTTCGAAGCAGAGCTTTCCGGCACCTCCAGCAGGGATTCTGAAATGGGTAGAAACACACCAAAAATCTACATATGGATCTTAGCCCAGTAATTATATTAATGGCCTCGGCGGCATCTTCAAAGAGTGCCCTCCGGGCTTTCTTGTAGTCCGGGCTCTTGACGGGCGTGTAGCCTGGCTTGAAAGGTGTCCCAACTTTGGCAGGGGTTGGCGTAGATCCCGACATGTGCACATCCTTGGCTGGGCTCGGCTTTGGGGAGGCCTTTGGCACAGGTGGGCTCGCCATGGTAACATCATCAGCTGTTGGCTGGCTCTTCACTGCTTGCTTCGTGGGTGTGTTGGGACATTGCTTTATCGGCACCGGCACTTTCGGGAAGCCAGCTTGTCCCGAGGCTGGCGGACGGCCCATGACGGCCAGACTGCTGGTTCTGCTGCCTTCGGCTGGAGGAGGCTTGGCAGCACTCTTCGGCATCTGTACCGGTCCGGGTTGCTTCGGCGTCTGTACCGGTCCGGGTTGCTTCGGTGTCTCTACCGGTCCGGGCTGCACGGGTTGGGCTTGGCCTTTCGAAGTCACGGGCTTCGAGGTTGGAAGTTCTCGCTTCGTCGGCACCGGGGAAGCACCTTTGGTGGGCTGGGTTTAAGGGTTTAGGGATTACGTGCGGCGGGCTTCGGGGTTTAGGGGTGCAGGGTTTAAATATATTGTTGCTACTATTAAGTTAAAGCCCAGATGCCTTTCATGGCTGTCGCCTTCACATCGAATTCCAGGGGAGCGGTAAGGCTTGGAGGCGGAGATGTCGTAGGTTTCTTAGCAGCTGGCGCACCGGCCATGAATGCCGTTTTGCCGCTCATGCGTCTCGTTGGTTTTGCTGCAGCTGCTTGTGTCCCACCGGTGTCTCCGGATCCTGCGTGCAGTGGCTGGCTGTCTTATATATTACAAGTGTGATTACAATACACATATAGTTGTTCGATCATATAAACATCCCAGCCAGCCTGCAGGTGGCATGCCTGCAGCTTTCAAAGCCTCTGCCACCTCATCTGCGATCTTCTTGTGCTTGCCCTGTCCGATAGGTTGGTAGGGATCTCTAGATACCTCTAGAACTCTAGATTAGTTCAGACTTTGGACACGGGCTTGTGGTTATATGGTGGTGCTAGCTTGGTTCGGCTCAATATTGGTAGGGGTGCACGTAGAAGTCGAAGGCATGGGGTTCAGATAATTTGTGAACACGAGGATGTGGCTTCAAAGCCCTGGCCTGTTCCTGATTACTATTCATAACATATACATGTACACCCCTGTATAGTGGACCTGAAGAAGCCGTTCTTCTGGGCTACCGGAAATATTTACAATATCTGGGCTAGCCTTGCGTGTAGGGTTCAGAGATCCTACTATAAACTTAAGTGCATTTAAATGCAATTAAGTTTATAGTAGGATCTCTGAAATTTAGGATTTGGGGATCTGGGTCTTAATGCATTATAGGGGGCTTAGGCCGGGCTTTAAGGTGCCTGTTGCGGCTGCTTGGGTGCAGCCTGCGTCGGAGTGGCCCCCGTGGAAGCCATGGCACGAACTAACGGCGACTAACGGTTACTAACGGCCCAAAGTGTTCCAGAGACCCCTTTGAACGCCAAATAACGCTTCCTAACGGCCCTGCCCGAACCTCAACTCACGGCCCCTAACGGCTCCTAACGGCCAAAAGTGGTCCAGGGAACCCTTTGAACGCCAAATAACGCTACCTAACTGCCGTGATTTTGCACACCAACACAACTCACGGCCCCTAACGGTCCCTAACGGCCAGAAGTGCTCCAGAGAGCCCTTTGAACGCCAAATAACGCTCTCTAACGCCTTTGGTGGTTTTCTGCAAGTGAACCCTGTGTTTGCAGCAGGGACTGCTCACAATTTGAGCAAATCAAGGCCTCGCGTCACATGCTTAACGTACAGCAGGCAGCCCTGACATGTGCGTGAGGCCGATCATGTGCAGGATCGAGCTACATGCAAACCCCAAATTAAATATATAAAGCTAATTAAAAAGGATTCCAAAGTACCTTTGCATGGTATCGAATAGGGAATACTCTTCCAAACCACAAAGCAAACCCTGCAATACTTAGGACCCTGAGGGAATTATGCATGTACACTTGTACATGCATAATTCCCTCAGGAATAGCATGTCGTCGGATTATCTCGATCATCCACATCCACGGCTTGGGTCTAGACCTGCACAATAGCCACATGAACTGTTTTCTCCGGCCGGTGCCAGTGATACATGCCGATGTGACACATGCATCTACTGCTCTAGATTCTCTAGATCTCCAGGGCAAGCCAAGCACCAGCTAGATAATTTTAGCTACATCAATGTACTGTGTAGACTGCATGCAGAGGACGAATGCCCCAAAGCTTGCCAACGGTTCAGCCAACCTGTATTCTGGAAGAGGTTTTGTGGTTTGGTTCGGCCGATACCTCGATCCACTGTGGCTGGGTGGACATGTACATGTGTAGTTAAATTTCACTATAATTACATGTGTCTCTCAGCATGATCACTTCGAGGGCCATAGCGACCAGTACATATACTCCAAATGTGTTAACCGACTGAATGGGCCCTTGAAGCCGATCACTCTCCAGCCGCCTTTGCAAACATGAGGCGTCGATTGCATCGACAGCCATGCACCTCAATTGCACGTTGTGTGGCTTGGGGATTAGGGCATAGGGTTCTGGGTTTGGGGCGGGCATTCGGTTTAGGGTTCTGGGTTTGGGGCTTTTCGGTTTCCATTAAATACACATAGTTTCGCAGAGAAATAATCATTATGTGTGTATATATATATATATATATATACATATGTATGTATCTCATATCAATACAAATATATATATATATATATATATATATATATATGTGTTTCTATATATATATACATATTAATATATATATATATATGTATATATATATATATGTATATATATAGAGAGAGAGCAATTCAGACGTACAAATATAGTATTTGCGGCAAAATACTCCAAACAGAGAATCTATGATGAGGCCGATCTAGATCAGTCAAGACTCGACTGGCCCGGTTGGAGTCAGCAATGAATAGCCAGGTTGTCCATTCTAGATACCCAGCAGCCTCGGATCGAAGTTTGATTGGCCCTATATAGGTATATTGACCCAACTATATAGGTATATAGACCCAACTTCTTATGATCTACTTGTGGGGGGTGGGGGGGGCTCTTTCGAGGTTTTCTTTTTGAAGGTTTGAACTTTTCAACTATGCACGAGATTCCATCTCCATTAACGTAACCTATATATATATATATATCTATGTATATACATATATAGGTACGGTTGGGTAGTTAATTTTGACGACTACAATATAGGTATATTAGACCCCACTAGGCCCCTAGGAACCCCTATGTACCACATTCGAAGCCAGCTGCTCATGTCCTGATACGGCACCCACGGTACCCAACCCAAAGCTAAACCCTTCATCCGGAACCCACGATATGCAGAACCAAAGCTCCTGCTCAAACTTTGATGGTAGACCCCCTAGAACCAAGCTTGACGGGAAGTGCCAAGAAGCAGTCGTTGATCCACCTGCAGAAAGTCGGTACCTGGGCCGGGCCCAGGGGAATAAAGACTAAAACCCAAAGCTTACAGGCTAAGCCCACTATAGAAACTTCGTAAGCGTGCCCCATTGCGAGCCCAGTGGATACTGCCCCGGTAATGATCATCGGTATCTTAAATTCGTCACTTGTTCGAATCCCACGAACACACACAGCCGAAGGCTCTAGAGCTACAAGACGAAAATCTGCGATCAGGCCGATCTGTCGAGTCTCGGTGGGTTGCATTGGAGTCAGCAATGTATAGCCAGGTCGTCCATTCTAGATATCCAGCAGCCTCAGATCGAAAGGGCATTGTTTGGTCGTAAAAAACCCAACTTCTCATGACCGGGGGCTCTGACGAGGTCATGCTTTTTGTTCTGAAGAAACTTTTGGGGTATCTGGGGCGAACTGCTGACTATGCACTGGGTTCCATTTGCATATCAACGTAACCTATACAGGTACGGTTGGGTATACCTAGTTAACATTTGACGACAATATATAGCACAGGTATATTAGATCCTATAGGAACCCCAGGCCCTATGTACCACATTAGAAGCCAGCAGCAATTAATTCATGTCCTGATACGGCACCCACGGCACCCAACCCAAACCTAAACCCTTAATCCGGAAGCCACGATATGCAGAACCAAAGCTCCTGCTCAAACCTTCGATGGTAGACCCCCGAGAAGCAAGCTTGATGGGAAGTGCCAAGAAGCAGTCCTTGATCCACCTGTCCAGAGAGTCGGTACCTGGGCCGGGGGAACAAAACCGTAAACCCCAATGCTTAAAGCCTAAACCCTAAACTGATAAATAATACAACTACTTCGTAAGCGTGCCCCGTTGCGAGTCCGGCGGAAACTGCCATGCTCCGGTACTGACATGATCGTCGGTATCATGAATTCGCCAGTTGTCCCATTAAGTTCGAAACCACCAGCACCAACATGTACAGCGGAAGGCTCTAGAGTTGTGCAAGTGAGAATCAGCTAAGCATGATATGTGTGCACGGATCCTACGAAAATCCTTGAGACAATGTATCGGAACTGAGCCCAACACGACCCCTCATGAATCACGGAATCCTACCCTGCCCTAGGTGTGGGCGGCTCCGGCATTTGTGGCATCGCACATGCATCTGAGCTCGATTTCCCGGCTTGCAGACACTATGGAGGGATGGGCCGTTGCGTCAAGTGAGTCTCTAACTCTAGCTGCAGACCTCCAGGTCCGTGTTCGGATTTAGGGTATCGGGTCTTCGGGTTCGGTTTTCTCTTGTGGAGGGACAGGGGGTTCACAATTTTTGGGCTTAGGGCTTTGGGGTTTAGATGTAAAGGCCTTGACCCAAGACCGAAACTGCCACTAGCATATGTAGACAACACACACAGTCTCATACACCCTAGCAAGGCCTTGTATGCATACATTTACATACATACACTAGTACAGACACATGCACAGAAAGATGCATACGTGCATGCATGCATGTCGATAACACACACTACCTGCATGTGCTTGATACAAAGCTGCTTCCACACATAAAGGCTGCATGCTAACTACCATATATTGTTATACGTATGGAACACATATACATGCTCAAGGTAATCTGAGAACCGTGTGCCACAGTTGCCTACACAGCTGGGCATTGGGACTGATGCTACAAGGTTTGCCCACCCCATCTGTACAATCCGATGTGCGGAGGTCGCACACACTTCGAATGGCTGGCACTTTTAGAAAAGCGAGCCTTCAATTACAAATCATCCGAGGATGCACCACAAATCACGACAAGGCCCAGCTACACGAATCTAGAGGTGCCCAAATTTGTTACGGCCTTAGATCGAG